ACCTTCCTGGTGGACAGAGCATCTGTGCCTCTTGTGTCTCTGATACTGGTGGCTGGGTCCACTGAGCTGGAGCTGAGGTCATCTGGGTCAGTAGAGAAAGCAAGCACCCCACAGCTGAGCCTGCATGGCTGAGGGCTGGGTGGGACCCTGGCAATGAAGGAGCCACCCAGGGCACGGCACTGAGGTTTGCTCCACAGAACAGGTCTGAAGGCTGTGGAAGTTATGGCTGGTGTTTGGAGGAAAGTTAGGGTACATCCCAGAAATCTCACAGAAACCCGGACATCCTAACTTCCACAGGCACCAAATACACACAGCTTCAACATCAATCTGGGTTTCTTACACAGAAATAAAATCCTAAAGTGGAGCCATTGAGTCTCTCAGTGAGTAAACACGGAACCGTGCTTCCTTTCCTACAGAATAAGGACACTCAGTGTCACATGCCAGGGTGATGTCCTCAGGTCACCTCTGAGCACCCAAGGTGGGCTGGGGTGGGGTGCCTTGTGCTGGTAGGATCAGGGGAGGGTTGGGAGATTCAGACAATTGAGGAAACAGGTTGGGGCACAGCTGGAGAGGGGTGGTGGGTGCTGTCGTCCTCCTGGACAGGGACTGGCACATCTCCCCTGTCTTCAGAACGTGCCCTGGAAGTCAGTCTGTGAAGCCCCAAAGGCACACAGCTTGGGGTTACCATGGCTGGAACTGCTTCTGAATGGGGTGTGCTGTTAAATTAGATGTGCAGACTCTGGGAGAGCTCAGCTGCCTGCAAGCTGATGCCTGGATGGTGCTGCAGACTGGGCTCCATGTGGCCTGCATGGGGCACTCTCAGCACCTACAGGCATCACCCTGAAACACGCGTGGTTTAGCTTTGCCTGTGTCCTTAGTGCTGGGCTTTGTGTAACACGTGTCTGCTGTTCCTTGATTATTTAATCTGTTATTTTCCTTTTTACAGTGGTTCCTCAATTTATGAACTTAATCCATTTGACAATTCTGGTCACAAACTGAGTTGGACAAGAAATGAACCAAATTTTCTCATAAAGTCAACTCTGAACCTAGCCACTGAATTTGATTTGGTTCTTATCCAACTCGGTTTGTGATTAGAATTGTGGGGAGCATCAAGTTTGTGAACTGAAGCACCACTGTGCTTTCCAATGAGTTTATGGATACACAGTCCCTCTCAGGGCTCACAGGGATGGATCCCAGGACCCTCCAGAGTCCAAGGCCTGAGAATGAAATGCACCAGGTCTGCATGTGACCCGCACATAGCCCCCCACAGACCTCAACCATCTTCAGGGCATGTGCAGGGTCATGTATTGCGGAAGCTGCAGGAATGGTCACACTGCATGTCTGGGGCTCAGGGTGAGAAACCAGTTTGTACATGCTCGGTACAAAAATTTGTTAGAAAATCTTTTCCATCTGTGGTTGGCTGAATCTGCACATATGGGGCCTGGCTGTGTCTCCCCAAGGAGCCCACATGTGGCATGGGCTGTGTCCCTGACCTGTCTTGGCTCCCAAGAAAGGCTTTCTATCACCATAAGAAAGTGGGGTGCTAATCCATTTCATCGGTTCCTCCACTAACTGTAGAGCAGCCTCTGCATGCTGGGCACCTTCTCACTCAAAAGCTCCTTCTCATGCACGACCCTCAGCAAGCTCTGGAAGACACATACTCCCAGGGCAAAGGGCAGTGATGCACGTGGGCAGCACCCCAATATGCTACTCTGTGCCAGGAGGAAGCCTCGCTTTCTCAGTTAGCGATGGAGCTGAGCTGAAGAAACAGAACAGAGCTTGGTGCTGTGAGTGGATCTGCACTGGGCGCGACTCGTTGGCTTTCTGCCGTGGGCACCCTGGGCTCAGGAACGATGCCACGACAACTCCGCTGCTGTATAGGGTACAGCCTGGCATGTCCTGGGGCTAGCCCTGTGGGTTGTGCAGGAGACCCGGGAGAGGGCCTGCCTCAGCCCACCGAGATGCAGAAACAAGTGGCTGCACTGGGAACAAACAGAATTTAATATTTATTCCTAATTAGCTGTGACAACACTGGGAGTATCTCAGACTCTCTTCCCTGCTCCCCCCAATCCTCTTTTCCTCATTTCCTTCCTTTTCCTTTCCTTCTCTTTCTCCTGCTTTCCTAATTTCATTTTTGTTATTTTCCTTTTAAAATGAATTACCTTGTCATACTTTTTCCATCAGATGCACATCGACAGCCTGAGACAGCAGTCACACTCCTGGGTGCGCACCAGGGCGGGGCACCTGCCATCACTGGTCCCTGGCCTCCCAGGTCCACTCGCCACCATAAGGACCCAACAGCCCAGGTCCATCAGAGGTGAGTGGACATGGACAAGAGGACTCTGCAGGATGCTACATCCTGAGGCAGAAAGTCCTGCCTTGTGACAAAACCAGGTGCTGACAGATAGCTGGGGAGGAGGGATCCTGGGGCCAGGTATGGGGAGGGCTGTCCAAGAACACATTCCAGTCCCTGCATGGGGAGTTCAAGTGCTGCCTGGCCTAAAGTGTGACCACAGCAGGTAACAATGTGTTCCACCCTGGAAAACTGCAAGAGACTTATTTGAAATCATCATGTACGTGGACATCAGGCTAACCACGCATTTAACCACTCCACAAAGCATGCATGGCCCACGCTCCACACTGCTGTGTGCTGTGTACTCTGCATCTCCTGATGCTAACTTACTAAAGTCAGAAAAATAACAAAGAAATAGAATAAAGTGTTTGCCGTATGAGAGGCTTGGTGGCTATTTCCAAAGGACACTGGGCACAGGGCTCCTCTCTTGTGCTGCCCATGTGGCCCCTCAGCAGCCGGGTGCCCGCCCCAGTATTCTCTCATTCCTGCATCCTCTCCCCACTGTGACCCACCTGTGCTCCTCAAAAGGGAAAGCAAGAGCCACAGGGCCTCCTCCTAGCCTGTGGCCACCAAACTCCCATTTCATTCTTCCCAAAGCCTCGGCACCCTGGCATCCCCTTTTCATTTTCATAGCCACTGACCCTGTATGACCAGGCTGTAGGAATGGCCCATGAAACACTTCCTGTCCCTAAACAATGTGGAGAGTCTTCAAAAAGCACACACAAATTTATCACATGAGGCAGGAGCTCCAGATCTTGGCACACACTCGTGTTCATAATGGCTGCACACAACAGCTAGAACATGGAAGCCATTCAAGCAACCATCCATGCATGAATGTGGTTGTCACATGGAGTACTTTTCACAGGCTCTGGCAGGCTATCACAAGGAGCAATCCTGAAGACATGACGCTAAGGGCAACAACCCGGGCACTATAAGTCATGGTGAGATGTTCTCCCGTGAGGCCCAGTGCACTCAGAGTCTTAGCAGCAAGAGGCAGAATTTATAGAAAAGAAAGGCGGCGGGGGGGGGGGTGGATGCCAGGGCTGGGGAGGGCAGAAATTGGTGTGTGGGGTATAGGTTTCAGTGTGGGAAGGTGGCAGGTTGTGGCCATGGATGCTGACCACATTAGCATCACACTGAGTGTGTATGTGACAACTGCCTCATGGGTGCAGGAGTGGTGGAGGTGATGAGTTTTAGGCTACATGTTGACCTCCATTAGAAATGATCTTTGGCCTGCACAGTGCCCTTGGTGTGAATCTGAGTCCCAGCCTCATCTCTCTGTGCCACTGAGGTGACTGGGGGCCATCTCTACTCCCTATCGGGCCTCAGCAGAGTCCCAAGCCCACCATGCTGCCAGGAGGCTGGCACAACACCGAGCTCATGCCTCTTAGGAATGTGGCTCCCCACCTGTCACTCTGAAATCGGTCACAGAGGAAAGTGGGCACCACTGCCAGACATGCTCTTGATACCTGAGCTGTAGTGTGTGCAGGTGGGCAACTTCCAGGTGTCAATGAGTAAAACCTGTGGGCAACCCAGCCTCATGCAGACGGCGGGCATGGGGCTTCTACTGTGCAGTCCTGCTCGGCTTCGAAGAGGAAGGACTCTGACACAGTGAGCACAGGATGGGACATGCATGGAGCTGATATTCTTATTCCAGAAGATGGGCAGCCCTGCTCCTTCTTCAAGGAGGCGAAGTGCTGCCCTTTCTCCCAGGAAGAAGAGGCTCATGCATGGCATCTAAGTGGGAGCAGCCTAGGTCCACCAAGGCTGCCGGGGAACACAGTGTGGCCTATCCCTGCCACAAGGAGCCTGTCATACTGTGGCCTGTCCTGCCGCATGGCCAGTCCCATCACGAGTGCAACTCAGCCCGCTCACGGGAGCTTGGCAGACAAATGCAGAGTGGCAGCTGCAGGGCCAGGCTCAGGAGCCGGCTGTGGACGACAGAAAGATCCCCATGCTTGCAGTGCTGTGTGTCTACATGCCACCTTTCCCAGATTTCCATAATGTTAAGCCCAAAAGCAAACTCTGGCTGTGACTTTCTCTAGAAGCCACCACCATTTTATAAAGGAGGACTCTTTAGGTCTCAGTGTCACTCTGCAAGCTGATCAATCAAATGAGCCCTGGGTTCAGGGGCTGAAGATCTGAGGCAAACAAAGAAAGGCTCAATTTGAGCATGGCCAGGCCCTGTGCTGAGCAATTCGAGGCCTCAGCTGGGAGGGTAGGACCCTGGGGGCCATGGCTGGTGGGTCCTGCCAAGGGTACAGGGCTTTCTCTGAGTGCTGTGTGATAGTGACAGCACACTGGCCCCACCATCTCTGGTGCTGGAGAGTGACATCTCACATGACTGACCGGTGGGTGTGGGGAAAGACGGATAAGACCCTTGCCCAGAGCCCTGCGGGAGAAAGCACAGGGTCACACTGCACTGCCCCAGGCTGCTGGGAAGCTGAGAGGAACCAGCCCATAGAGGGGAGCAGCAGGGGACACCAAGGAGAAGGGTCCAAGGCTTCTGCCTATCACTGAGGGCTCTGGTTCAGAGTACGATCTCTGAGAAGCAGTGTGGCTCCATCGCCTTGGTTCTTTTAGGGCCCTGTCATGGCCAGAGTCCCTGGAGGAATGCGGGGTGGCCCGCGCGGCATCTGCACCCTACCTAGGTCCTCCTCCGTGGGCCCTGGAAAGCTGAGGCCCGGCTGGGCCAGGTCTCCGCCTTCTTCCTCTGCAAAGACAGAAACAAAGTGACAATTTACTGAGGGTCTGGCATGGCCTGCAGTCCCCATCTGAGACCCTCACACTGGTTCACCACAGTTAGTGTGGCACAATGTCCAGCCTCGCCTCCCCAACTGGGCGGTATCCATAGCAGTAGTGCAACCGTCATGATGCCCAGGGACACGTGGACATGGCGGCATCTGTGTACACACTCTTGTGCCCACATGCGTGTGCTCCTCTCCACACACACTGTCTACACAGCTGCTGTGGGCTCTATGCTGCAGGCTTCTGTGCTGCTGCTGATACCCATCGTGGCCTTGGTGCCCCGAGGGCTCTTCCTGCTCCTGTCTGCATTGGTTAAATGTTTTGTAAGAAAGTTCATTCAGGTTATTCTGCATAATCCACCATACCTCACTTCTGCACTGTCAGCAGTGTCCTGCACAGCCACCTGACTCCAGACCACACTGCGTAGACTGTGTGTTCTCATCTTTTTAGAGACATCATGGGCAGTGTTCATGAGGTACATTTTCCATGGAGACAACTGTCACCAGCGTGTCTCTGTGTCTCTTTGAGAACAGAGGCACAGTAGTTGAGTTAGGATGCAATTTGGAGGATAAGTGACGATGACACTTCCCCATCAGTTCATATTTCCCCAAGTTCAAACACAGACACACACAGAAACACACACAGACACATGGACAAGAGTGTGAGCCTCCACAGTGTGTGTTGCACACTGATGTCCCAGGCTGCCAGGACAAGAGCTGACAAGAGCCAGTGCTTTTAGTTTTGTGATACAGGGGATTGAACTCATGACCTCATGCTTGCCAGGCAGGTGCTTATACCACTAAGCTAAACCTCCAGCCAGCTTTGTTGATGGTGAAGACATAGCACAGGGGCATAGGAGGGTGGTGGAGCTGTGCACAGAATGGGGCTGGTGCCATGGCCCTGTGGTCCTGCAGGGAAGAACACCAGGCCATGCCAGGGACACACCCCAGGGGCCTCCCATGCCACTCACTTTACCCTTATCATCCATCAGGTAGTGAGAACCAGAGGTCCAGATGCCCCTACTTCAGGCAAAATGCCCACCAGGAGAAAGGCAGCCAGTGACAGGTCTGTGTCTGGTGCTGCTTCGGGGTAGACATGGATGGCCACACCCGTCTGGGTTGTTGTGACTGGTGTCTCCTGTCCTTGCTGCTCCAACAGGCCCTGCATTTGCAGACTCTGTGGCCACCCTCGACTTGCCCAGAGCCCAGGATCTTGGTGGGCTGTGTCCCGCGCCAGTTTCCCCAGCAGTGGGAGTAGGAACATCTCAAGGTCCAGGGGACCCAGGAAAGAGGTCCTCAGACTCAGCTGTGTAGTCACGATGCAGCTAGTTGCCCAGTGCAGGCTCAGAGCGGTCACAGGCACCCACCCAGTCTGCAGGCTCCCTCTGACAGTGCTCTTGTGAAGAGAAGGAGGCTGCTGGGTCACAGGGGCTGACTGGCAGGGCAGAGGAGAGTGGCTCAGAGAGCCACACTCAGATGCTGGATGCCTGGGGCTGTGCTGCCTGCCTCGGCTTCTCCAGACTCAGATCCAGCCAGGAAGGCTGGGGGCACGAAGGCAGCATTTGGGAGAGCAATCAGGGCTGTAAAATTAATAGTGCCTGCATCCCAGAGCCCATGCAGATTTCCATCACATTTTCCTGGCAAAATAGAAAAGTTCCTTAGACTGAGAAATTTTGGAAATCATCCACTCATACATCTGAATGCATCTAATGAGTTTTAGGCATCACCAGAGAAAGTCTTTTACCACTTAGACTCTTAACGGGATTTTTCCTACTTCAGATTGCTCACTTACAGTACTTTTGGGATGAATTCACTTTATGACTCATTTTTCTTACATGCCAGGTCTTTTGTGATGGCTGGGCTCTGCCAGTATGACTGCAGGTCTTCCATCCATTTCTGGGTGGAGAGAGTGAGGCTACTCTGCTGTTCTGGGTTATGGTGCCTCTCTGAACCCATCCGATTCTAAGCGTGCAACACACTGCTCACATCAGAACAGCTTTGAATGTGGGGATCCAGGCCCCAGCAGATGAAAGAACCTGTTACTGATGGTGTGCAGCATGAGGTCACCAGCCAGGTCACAGAGGGTCCTGTGCCTAACCACAGCAGTGACCAGTGCAGACCGCTTGTGCTGGTGAGGGTGCTAAAGGCAGGCACAGCAGCTGCTACACAGCAGCATGGCACGTGGCTTCACAGGTCCCAGGTAGGAGTCCCAGGCTTTAAAACTCAGTTCTCCTAAGGGGACATTGGCACGTGTCATCAGAGGGATGGCAAATACATGGGCAGAGGGCACATGGCACTTTTCAGACAGCTGGTTCTATCCATGAGTGCATAGGTAGCCTGTGCTCAGAGTCACAGGAGTCTGAGGGTGCTGTCCCACACACTGTGAGTCCAGTCTGCACTGCAGCCTGATATAGGATATCCCGTCAGCAGTGACCTCAGTCAGTCTGCTGCTGAGGGGGAACAGTACAGATAATTCTAAGAGGTGAGCCCCTGGTGGGCCATACAACCTCAAGCAGAGGGATCTGAAAAATAAAGACACGTTCATGAATAGTGATGAACACTTTGTTCTTTCTGTAGATGAGGAATCTCATCTGCAGGTGCACCCAGGGGGGCAAGTTCATCTGGACATTGTATTCTCTATGGAAGACTGTCTTGTCCACAGGTGCATCTTGCCGGGAAGGTGCAGCTGGACATTGTGTCCTCTATGGAAGACTGTCCTGTCCACAGGTGCATCTAGGGGGAGGCACAAGTGGACACTGCTCTCTAGGGAGAATGGTTCCCATCTGCAGGTGCATCTAAGGGGGAAGTGCATGTGGATACTATGTTCTCTATGGATGACACCAGCCCTTTGACCACCCCAGCTGGATGGGACTGCAGGTGACAGGGTGCCCACATTCTGGTTCCCAAGCTATGAAAAGAAAGGAAGGTGCTAGGGTCTATGTAGCAGCTCTGGGCGGGGACACCCAGGCACAGGGGCTTGTGAGTGCTATCAGCCTGCCATCCTGTGGCCGTGGGAGCCCACCTTCCTTCCTTCTGCCCACCTACTTCCTGTTCATGTTGGGAAACCTGTGGGAAGCAAGCACAGGGTCACTATGCGCATGTGGCAGACACACTGCCTCCAGCAAACTGCAGGCACAGCACACAGTGCAGACTTGATGGCCACTGGGCCTTGGACCTCGATCGATGTCTGGCCCCAGCTCAGGGCTCCTTTTTCTCCAGGGGGTAGTGGCATCTGCGATCAGGAGTCTACCCAAACAGATCTTCATCTCTTACAAGCACACTGGCAAAAGCTCCCAGGAGGTTCCAAAAGTGGCCACTATTGTCAGTGAGCTTTTACTATTCTGTGTGGGGTGAGTTTGTGTCTACGGCTGACTTGGAAGTAATGATGTGCAGTTAAGTCTTCAGAACAGTAGGCAGGAGGAGAAATTGCATGCACTGAGAAAGGGAATTCCCACAGGAAAATACGGATTTCTCAGTGAGGCAATGGCTGCACCACACACCTCACACACCTCCACCCGAGGGGCGGCCTCACCCGCCGAGTGACTCCCAGTGTCTCTTGTTGCCTATTCTAAGAAGGGCAGGCTCCGCCACCCTTGGCTGCCCTGCTGATGGCAGTTATGTGATTGGCCTGCAGTGCCTCGCAGTATCATGATCTGCTGTTTCCCCAGCACGAGGCTTTTCCTCCAATGAGTGAGACACAGAACCCTGAGAGTAGCACAGGTGCTAGCAGTGACTGTGGCAGGACTCAGATGAGAGCCAACTTGGTTGGGCATCCTCTTTCCTCTCACTGACCACTGCCCAGGGAGCCAGCAGACCCGTTGGTCCACTCCCCAAGGCTTCTAGAGCATGGTTCCTTCTCTTATGCTGTGAGATACTTCCTGCTTCCTTACCCCAGGACTAGAATCTGAAGTCTCTGCTGCTGGGTCACAGTGTCATAATCTGAGGCACACAGTCCATGGATCTGCGGTCCTCAAGTCATCTTGGAGTCCTGGGTCTCCTTCGGGCCTGGTCCCAGAACCACTTGTCCTGTCCCACATCGGCCTTGTTCAGGCAGCTCCCAAGGCCTGTGGGATGTGGGGCCTCTCTGGGCTCCCAGGTGCACCAGCTTCAGGGCCTGCAGCCTCTCTGGCTCAGGTCCCTGTCACCATGCCTGCTGATAGCTCTGAATCCTGGAAAGGTCCCTTGTGGGTAAAAGCCTGTCCTTGTCTTTGTGGAGGAGTTCCACCTTCTCCTGCTCATTGGGCAGAGACCAGAGAGGACAGTCAGGCAGCCTCCTGCCTATGACTGTGTGGAAATGTGCATTGTCAACCCCTTCTTGCACCCCCACTGCCTGCCACACAGTTTGTTTATTGTCTGTGTTCCTCATGGGTCGCAGCCACCAGTGACCAAAAGTCAGGGGTGAGGAGCAGGAGACTCTGATGCTGCTGCAGCTTGCCTGCCACTGGGGCTGTACTAGGCCAGGCCTCCCAGCGCAGGGACAGACAGAGACAGGGCTGCCAGCTCTTCAGGAGTAGAGGCTTCATATACAGGCCATGGCCAACCAGAGGACATTCCAGAGCTGTCTACACAGTCCTCTGCTGAATCTCGACAACCACCACCCAGCCCCCAGATGTCCTTGCTCTGAAAGTTTAAAGAAAGCCAACTTAAGTGCACATTTGGCCTCTTCTCTAATGACAGGATTTGAAGGCTACTTAGATTGTGGATTCATTTCTACTTGGCGAGGACAATGACACTGATGAGGCTTGATGCCAGCCTCCTTCTACGCTGCACAGCTGTGTACCAGCCGGCCCAGTACAGCTCCAGTGGTGCTCTCAAACTCAAGATCCTATTCTGGGCAAGGATGGATCACAGGGGAGCTGCCTCAGAAAAGTCTGCAGCATTTTGCCAAAGTTCAGGCCACTTCCATCAGACAAGAGTGAAACCCAAGGGCAGCTGGTCCAGGAGGGTGGGGCAGACGTGCGCTTCA